CTTGACGAGGAGGTCCCGAGTTTGGCCCTGACGACTCCACCGAGTTCGTCGCGCAGCTCATGTGCTTCCTCGGCGCCTTGCCTGGGGGTCCCACCGGCTTGCTGGACTTCGTTGTTTTTCTCAACAAGTGGTGCCGCCATGCAGCGCCGCACACTTCGCCAGACGTTTTCTGCTGAGCGGCTTCCCGTTCGGCTCCGTCCTTGTCTTGGTCGTGGTGTTGCGGGTGGTCTTCAGGGGCTTTCACCCGGTGTTGCGGAGGGCCGTCATTTTGTATTTGGAGATATGTGTGGTCTTCACGTGTTTGGTGGGTGTGTTGTGTTTGTATTGTATTTTGGGGGCGGATCGTCGTCATTATCTTGTTGCAGGGATTGTTGTCACCCATGTACTTGCAGTTGGTGCTTCTCTTTTGTCCCTGGTGTTGTGAGCCACCTTCCTGTACTTGGTGCAGCGGACGACCGTTATGGAGTTCCTGCCGCTGGGGATCGTCCTCTTGAACCTTGCGCTGCCCATAGTATTCATGTTCGTGGCGATGCGGTGGGTGGTCCTTAGTCGCATGGTGCAGAGGATGGTTTTCGTCCTGTTCCTGGTGCTGTGGGCTTTCGATTACCTCATCGAGTGAGGGGCGGTTCTGCTGGTCATCTTCCTGGAAGAGCGCCCCCGCGTGTACAAAGGCAGGCCTCGGCGAAGCCTCCGACTTCTCCTCCGCGAGCTCGTCTGGCCCTGGCTGGCCCGCGTTCGCGCGCGGCGGTGCAAGCATTGTCGAAATCGCTGCCACATTATGGGCCCCGCCCACAGTGCCGTGGGTCCCTCGCGACCTTCCACCTGACCTTGGTGAGGGTGTCCTTGTCTCGGACACTGTTTCACAGCTTTCTGCAGGGCGACCTGGATGGCGCCTGGACGTCGGCTTTGAAACTGGGAGGTACGCAGGGCTACGCCATAGATCAGGGCACCGCCCCCTTGATCTGTCTCGCGCGCCTGCTCTGGTGCTCGCCTGACTCCGCTGCATGGCCCTGCTGTCATAGGTGATCTGTGGTCCCCCTCCTCCTCCTCCTACTCCTCCTCCTCCTCCTTCTCCTCCTCCTCCTCCTCCTCCTCCTCTATCCCTTTCCTGTGTAAACAGCTCCTTCCACGGGGCCAGGTTTTCGCCCCAGGTCCAGTCATGATGGCCCCATAGAGCCCCGCAGCGGGCCCCCAAGGCTGAACTCTGGGGGGAAACGCCCAGACTGAAGAAGTGGAACGAAGACCTCGGCCCTGGACAGAACCCCCACCCTGACACATCGATTAGTGAATTGTCCGTTTTCGGTTCTCGAGGGGGCGCCGCGGCCGTCATTTTCCAGGCCTGCGCCCGCCAGGCTTGGGCCCGAGGTCGTTTTCACTAAACCACATTTTGCTAAAGGAGGTTCTGTCCATCCCCGAATACCTGGGACCGCGAAGGCCTCCTCCTCCTCCTCCTCCTCCTACCTCCTCCTCCTCCTCCTCCTCCTCCTCCTCCTCCTCCTCCTCCTCCTCCTCCACCTCCTCCTCCTCCTCCTCCTCCTCCTCCTCCTCCTCCTCCTCCTCCTCCTCCTCCTCCTCCTCCTCCTCCTCCTCCTCCTCTTGACTGACGAAGTCGAACGAAGCCCTGGGACCGCGCCGCCGTGCAGGGCGCGGGGCTCTTCGGCCGAGGGCCCCCCCGCGGGGCGCGGGGGGGGCCGGGCCGGGCCATGGCGGCCAGCGGCCGCGTGCCAGCCGTGCTGGTGGCGCAGGCGGCCAGGGCCGACGAAACAACGACGACGACGAAAAAGACGACGACGACGACGACGAAAAAGACGAAAAAGACGAAAAAGACGACGACGACGACGACGACGACGAAAAAGACGAAAAAGACGAAAAAGACGACGACGACGACGACGACGACGACGACGACGACGAGGGCCAGGGCCAGAGAGTTTAGGCTTGAGTCGGGCCTGTCCCTCTGCTCAGAATAGCAGGCGATCGCAAACATGGATCAACGGAGCGTGGATTAGCGACGGGTCCCGCTTCCATTGGAAAAATCGGACTTCCATCCCCGAACGAGGCGGCACCGGCCGCATTTTGGGGAGGGTACCTCCCCCGATCCATGGATGTGGCGACCGCGCGCCAAGTCCACGGATCGCTAATCCATGTTTGCGCGCCCCCGAAAATAGTCACCGCTGAGGAAGCAGGCGGTTCCTGGTCAAAACATGTCCCTCTACTTCGATGTTTCGCCCAAAATCCGCCTGTAGGGGGACACGCCCGACCTAAGTCTATGCCTCCTAGATGGGGTAAGAGCGGATGGGGTCGGAGGATCGCGCCGCATCGTCGATGCATCGGCAATGCGGCTCGATGTGGAGACCGATGTTCTCCTCGCTGGCGTCGCCGATGCATCGGCGATGCATCGCCCATGTATGGGCGACGCGGCGCTATCCTCCGACCCCATGAACTCCGACCCCATCTGGGAGGCCTCTAGAGAGGGGCGGCGGCCTCGACGACCGCTGCGGCGGCGGTTGCGGCTCCCCTCCCTCTCGCCTTGTCTCCATCCCTTTCTCTCTCTCTCTCTCTCTCTGACTCTCTCTCTCTCTCTCGCCTTGTCTCCATCCCTCTCTCTCTCTCTCTCTCTCTGACTCTCTCTCTCTCTCTCTCTCTCGCCTTGTCTCCATCCCTCTCTCTCTCTCTCTGACTCTCTCTCTCTCTCTCGTTCTCTCTTCGTCGCCTCTCCTTGATTCCTCTGCTCGTCCTTCAAGGGAGGAAGAACCATCCGGACCCGAGAATTGGCGTTTACTAACGGCCCTGGGCGTTTGCTAAACAGCCATGCCCTGTTCGACTCCTTCTTGAAGTGCGTCTACTCACGGCCTCGCTGGTCGGGGTGGTCGTCATAGGGGTGGATTTTTTGCCCTCTAGTCCTGCCCCTGTGTCGGGCGGCGTTCGTGTCTCCGGTGCCTGCTCCTGTTCCGGGCCGCGCTGCTGCCGCGGCGCTCGGCCTCTCCTTCCCCCTCTCTCTCTCTCTCTCTCTCTCTTTCTCTCTATCTCTCTTTGACTCTCTCTCTGTCTCTCTCTCTCTCTCTCTGACTCTCTCTCTCTCTCTCTATTTGTCGCCTCTCCTTGATTCCTCTGCTCGTCCTGCCCCTGTGTCGGGCGTCGCTCGTGTCTCCGGGTGCCTGCTCCTTGTGCCGGCCCGCCGCGTTGCTGCTGCCGCGGCGCTCGGGCCCAGGGTTCTCGTCTCTTGTCCGTCGGACCTGTGGCCTTCTGCCGGAGGGGCGACGAGCAGACTGAAGTCGGGCGTGCCCCTCTACCGGAGGAATATTCAAAAATAGGCGCGCGGGGATGGGCCCTGAAAAGGGGCCCTTTATATGATGGGTCTGTTTTCCACCGCCGTCACCCGAAGTTGGAGGGGGGAAAAAGGAGGAGGACGAGGAGGAGAAGGACGGAGAGGAGGAGGACGGAGAGGAGGAGGAGGAGGAGGAGCAGGAGGAGGAGAAGGAAGACCCCCTCCCCTCCAACTTGTGGTGGTGGTGGTGGAAAAGAAGCCCATCGGTATGGTGCCCCTTTGGGGCCCCTGCTGGCTCTGGGCCCATCTCTTCGCCCCCCCCCCCCATGTAGGTTGATGTCGGGCGTGTCCCCCTATCCCTGAGGGCTGATCGACTTTTCGCCAGTCGACTTGTGGGAGTCGAGCCAGATAGATCCAGGTAAATGCAGATAAATCGACTCATCGAGATACATCCGGATAAATCCAGATAAATCCAGAGATCTCCAGGGAAAGTCGGAGCATTTCTCGGCCGCTCCAGCGCGAGTCGAAGGACGGCAGAAGTCGTTAAGCCTCTAACGGCCCTACAGGGGGATTTTCGACGAAAAATAAGAAATACCCCAAACATAATCCAAAAAGGTCCGAACATATTCAAAAAATAGTACCCAGACTATTGTTTGATATTATCGGGGGAGCGTAAGACCCGGGTTTGCCAGGACTCGGGTTCGCCATCGTTTTTTGATGACCGCGCCTCGGATTTTGACGAGGAGGAGTTTCGTTTGATGTCTGCAGCGGGAGGCCTCGTCAAAATGCAGGCTCGGCCTCGTCATTTTTTTGACGACCTCGTCGGGCCAACCCGAGTCCCCCGTACCCGGGTCTTACGTCTCCCCGAATGTAGGTTGATGTCGGGCGTGTCCCCCTACAGGGGCATTTTCGACGAAAAATAAGAAATACCCCAAACATACTCCAAAAAGGTCCGAACAGATTCAAAAAATAGTACCCAGACTATTGTTTGATAATTGTTTTGATTCTTTGGGGGGTATGTTTTATGTTCCGTCGAAAATCTCCCTGTAGGGGGACAGGCCCGACTTAAATGTAGGTCACCCCCCCCCTGTATTGTTAAGTCGGGCATATCCTTCTCATTACAGGAGGAATCGTCAAAAATAGTCAGGGGACGATGTCTCGACTTTGCTTCGCCATGTCTCTGGTATGTTGTTGGCCGTTTTTGATATGTCCCCAGATCCCACTGCAGGAGGACATGCCCGACCTGACAATGCCGCCCGCCCGAGCTTCGATATGTTAACCGACGCTGCCTCGGCGCCGCCCTGCCCCTCCTGTGCGACGCCTCGGCTTACGTAACTCCCATCGTACTTTAAGGACCACATCCCAGAAATAATTTCGAGCACCCAGAAAAGTATCGAAACAGTGTCGAAGGAGTATCGCCTCCCAGGGCCCGACACGTGAAAACCCTCAAGACTCGGCATTTTCCTGGTGCTCGAAACTATTTCAGGTGATCAAGGACAAAGCATCGGGAGGGGAACAACCACACAGACACAATTCATCGTCGACTCCCAGGAGAAGATCGGAAAATATGGGAAGTGGGGGGGAGACGAAAACCCAAACCTGTGGGAAGATATGGGGAATCCTGGGATCTGTGTGCGCATTTATTTGTGTGTCCCTGGGCCCCCTCAAAGCGGGTTGGAACATCATAAGCCCCGGCGGTTGGTGCCGCCTCCGCGCGGCGGGGCCCCCGACGCAGGCGGCGCGCGGCAGCCCGGCCGAGGGCGCCGCGGAGCCGCGGCAGGGCGAGCCGCCTGGGCTGCGCGCGAACGTGGGCCGGCGGCTGGCGAAGGCGCGGCCGGGCCGGCGGGGCTCGAGAAGCGGGGCGTCGGGTGTCGACCTCCTCCTCCGCCTCCGCCTCCGCCTCCGCCTCCTCCTCCTCCTCCTCCTCCTCCTCCTCCTCCTCCTCCTCCTCCTCCTCCTCCTCCTCCACCTCCCCTCCGCCCTCCGCCTCCTCCGCCTCCGCCCCTCCTCCCTCCGCCTCCTCCTCCTCCTCCTCCTCCTCCTCAGGGGCGTCGACCTCCTCCTCCTCCTCCTTCTCCTCCTCCTCCTCCTCCTCCTCCGCCTCCTCCTCCTCTGGGCGGCCGCGAGTCTGCCCCGCGCGCCCAGAGCACATTGATCGGGAGCCGGCAGAACCCACCGTATAGCTGGGGGCGGCTCCCCCGGGGTCTGGCCGGCTGTCTGAGACAGCGGCAACTCCCAGTGGGGGAGGAGGGGTCTGCCAGCCGGGGCCTCCAGTGGGGCGTACCCGGGAGCTCCGCCGGGGCCAGCAGGACAACGCAGTCGTCCGCGTGCTCCTTGGGGCGCCCCGCGCAGGCCGGCCTGCCAGCGCGCCGGTCCGCCAGCATGCCAGGCCCTGCCCGCGCCGGGCCCAGTTCCGCTCGCGCCCCGCGCCGCGCCGCTCCGCCGCCGGCTCCGCGCTCGCCGCCACCCGGCGCGCAGTGGTGCGGGCCGCTGCTGCCCCGCGGCCGTCGCCCGCGCGCCAGCCGCCAGCGCGGCAGTCAGTGTTGCCCCGCAGCTGCCTGGCGCGCAGCGCGGCAGTCAGCGTTGCCCCGCAGTGTTGCCCCCAGCGCGGCAGCCAGCGTTGCCCCGCCAGCCCGCCAGCGCGGCAGTCCGCGCCCGCCGCCGCCCGGCGCGCGGCGGCGCGTCGCTCGAAGCCCGGCAGTCAGTGTTGCCCCGCGTTGCCTGGTGCGCGGCGCGGCGCGGCAGTCTAGCCCCTTGTTCCGGCTCCGCGCCTGGCCCTGGCGGCCCAGCCCTGCGCCTGCGTCGCCGCCAGCACCGCGTCGGCGGCGTTCCGCTGGACGACGCACCCGAGCGACTGGTGCAGTCGCTGGATGGCCGCGGAGCGGGCCGTGTCCTGGGCGGGCGCCAGCAGCTTCGTCAGGGCCAGCGCCTCCTCCCCCAGGCGACCGTGGTCCTCCACCACGACGAAGGGCACCACAGCCACCCTGGGATAGCGGGAACGCTTGCGCCGCGCCGAGCCGAGCTCGAGCGCGTCTTGTGTGAGCGCGCTCACCACGGTCAGGTCGACCATGAGTGGCTCAGCTAGGCCCGGGGCGTGGACGACGAGGTCTATCCGCGCCTCTGGGCTCTCCGACGCGGCGTGAGGGAGGAGCCTGCAGGGCCAGGGGCGCACTGACCCCGGCCTGCGCGCAGGATCCTGCAGGATCTTGCAAGGCCCGACTGACCCGGGTGTGCATTGGCCTGGGTCAGCAGGTGCCCGGGGCCGCTCGCTTGAGGGGCGGCCTAACCGACCAGTCGCAAAGCATCCCCATCGTCGAGGATAACACAACCCCTAACCCTAATAGCACAGTGGAAACGTAGCCTAACTCAGGTCCCCGGCTTCGCAGCAAGGACCATAATTCTGGGGGGGGATACATCTTCAGAATTTAGGTCCCCCTATCCACAATGTCTTTGGCCCTCCTGACGTAGGTCCCCTCCCAAAGGGTTGGGTGCCAGAAGTGCCCTTGGCCCAAGGCGCCCCCAGGAGTTCCAGGGAGACCCCCACGGCCTCCAGAGCACCCCGCACGAGGCCCAGGGCGGCCCCAGGGGCCCCAAAATGGAGCGACAAGTCGGGTGGCACCATGGTTTTCCCCCGCAGTGATTATCTAGACGCAATAAGAAGTCATTTCTGGTTTGGGGTACTCCCGACAACGCACTCCTATCATCCAATGCCTTATCCAGTCACAGTGGCCAGGTAGATGATGATGAGGAGAGGATGAGAGGATGAGCGGAGAGTGATGAGGAAGAGGAGGAGAGGGAGGAGTAGGGGCGGTGGCGAGGAAGAGAAGGAGGATAGGAAGAGGGGGAGAGAGGAGGAGGAGTTAGGACCAAGGCCATGGCATCCTTTCTCAGCCCCCGACCCCTCCCGTGCTCGACCCCTCAAGCCACGCCCCCTCGCAGCCTGGAGGGTCCTCCTCCTCACCTCCTCCCCTCCTCCTCTCCTTCACCACCTACTCCTCGCTCCCCCCACCTCCTCCCCCTCCTCCTCCTCCTCCTTCTTCTCCTCCTCCTCCACGTCACGGGAGTTGCTCGTCACGGAAGGGGCTGGTCAGGCCACGCCCGATCGGTTGTGATCGAAGTGGGGTTTGTTGATGTTCGCACTTATGTCGGGCCGAACGAAAGGGGGGATAGGGAAAGGGGGGGTTACGAAATCTGCTGCAGCTGGTTTTGGCCCCTCCGGGGGGGCCCATTCCTCGATACATGGGCGCCTCCCGGCTCCGGGAGGCGCCGGGAAAATCAGCTACGCGAGCTGATTCTCAAACCCATGTCGCCCGGCCCGCGAGAGGTGCTCGTCAGGGAAGGGGCCGGTCAGGCCGCGCCCGATCGGTTGTGATCGAAGTGGAGTATGTTTTATGTCGGGCTTGTCTTCTGCCGGAGGAAAATTCAAAAATAGGTATAATTAAAGAATATGGGGGCAGTTTTTGATTATTTGTTTACAATATGGGGGTATTTGTTTAGTATTTTTAGCTTTTCACCCAAAATCCCCCTGTAGGGGGACAGGCCCGACCTAAACTCATGTCAGATTCGGCGGCGAGCAAGGGGGGAGATGGGAAGGAGGAGGCCTTCGCAGAAGGCGGCGGGACTGCTCAGAAGCCCTCGCGTCTTCTGATAAGTGCTTCTTCGTCCTCGGGGAAGGCTTAGAAGATGTCTCAGAAGGCCAGGGGAGCTTCCGAACCTTCTGAGCAGGCCTTCTCCTCTCATTTCCCCCCCTCGCTCGCCGCCGACAGATGTCCCGAGCGCTGAACATAACCGCATCCGTGCCCCCGCGGTCTGGATTCCGGAGCGCGATCGCGATCGTACGGATCTGTTCCGCGCGTGGCGCCCGCGAACAACAACACCCCGTATCCGCGGGGTCGCGGCGGAGAGTGGTGGTGCATCCGTTGTGTCATAACGCGCGTTACGGCCCCCCTTTTCCCCCCCCCCCCCCCCTCCCCCACCCTCATGACGTGACACTCTTCCCCCCCTCAGTGCATTCCTGACACTGCCGCTTTGGGTCTGGGGGTCTGAGGTGGCCTAGCATTGGTTCCAGCCAACTGGACGGGAGGGGAAGATGTTCGAGGTTCTGGGTTCGGGAAGGTTTTTACACCTTTTTCAACCTCCAGGGATCTTTTCGGGCTCCGAAAACGGATCTGGGGTAAAAAAAATTCGCCAGATGGACACCACAAGGGGTTCAGGGATTGATTTTGAGCGGTTTTGGCTTCATCCCTGCTTTCCTGACCGATTTTCTGGGGTCCCAACCACCTGTCCAGACCCCTAGATCGCCCCCAATGTTTGCCAATGCTCATACGTATGGATGTTCATAATGGGGGGAAACGGTTTTTGGTTGAATACAAATAATAATAATAATAATAATAATAATAATAATAATAATGATAATAATAATAACAATAATAATAATGATAATGATAATAATAATAATAATGACAATAATAATAACAACAATAATAATAACAATAAGAAGAAGAAGAAGATATTAAACAAACAAAAAAACTTCTGGGGCGGACGATTCAGAAAATTGTTTCGCGGGCCTCCTCGCCCCCGCAATAGCGGGGGGCAGGGCAGGCAAACGGGGGGCTGACAATTCCGGATTGCCTGGAAGGCCAAGGGGGGGGGGGGGCACGGGGGGGCGATCCAGGGCGCGGGGGCCAGGGGGGTGGACGGGGTGAGTTTTCAGGGCGAGCTCGTCCTCCTCCTCCTCCTCCTCCTCCTCCGCCTCCTCCTCGTCCTCTCCGTAGCCATTGTGGTTCAAGGAGATTATGCTCTGTGCTGCTGTGCTCTGAGCTCCTCCACGGCGCGGCGCGCGGCCTTCGGCGCGCGCTGCTGTTCTCCCCGCCGCTGCGATGCCGCGTGGGGCGATGTGTGGCTTTACCGTGAGACATGGCGTGTCGACGGCTACGGTCCCGACGATTGAAGCCGCAGCAGCACTCATGTTGTTGCTGCAAGCTGGCGCGGCGCAAGGCGGTTCCTCGCCAGCGCCTGCCGCAGCGGCTACGGAGGCGGCGTCAGGGGCCGAGGCGCTGACGGCCCTGGGGAGAGGCGCAGCGGCTGCTTGGCGTGGCTGCGGAACTCGTCGCGGTGATGGGCGGGGCCACGCTGGCCGTTGGCCTGGCCCGGTGCCGTGGCGAAGGCTGGCGCCCGCCGCCCCGCTTGGAGGGGGCCTGGCGTGCAGTACGCGGCAGCCTCCACGCTGCGTCATCCTGGTGCAGGGGCTGAAGCGTTGGCCGCGGCGCGCGGCTGGGTGGAGTCGCACTCCGAGGCGGAGGACCAGTCCAAGTCCCTGGACGGACCCACGGACAACATCGTGGATTGGGCGCCGCTGGTGGAGGCTGACTCTTCGAGTGCTCGCGAAATCGTACGTGCAGAAGGTGTCCCTGGTGGTGGGGTTCCTGCTCGTGGCGGTGGCCAGCTACCTGGGCCGGTTCATGGTGAAGTCGTTCGGGACGAAGGTGTTGCAGGCGGTGGAGCTGCTGCTCGCGGCGGCGGCAAGCTTCCTGGTCAGCCTGCGGTGGCCGCTCATCTTCTCCATGACGATGCTGGTGATGCAGTTCGAGATGAGGGTGCGCTTGGTGGCGGCACTGCGGCTCATGGCTGCGGCAAGCCTCCTGGCAGTGCTGGTGAAGCCGTGCGCGCAGAAGGTGTCCCTGGAGGTGGGCCTCTTGCTCATGGCGGTGGCACGCTACCTGGGCCAGTTCACGGTGAAGCCGTCCGAGCTGAAGGTGGATCTGGTGGTGGCGCTGCTGCTCGCGGCGGTGGCAAGCTTCCTGTCCATCCAGCTGGTGCCGTCCAGCT